CAATGAAAAATACCGTTTACAAATGACAGGAAAATGTACGGAGCCGGTGAAATATTCTCCGCCGGAGTTAATCGTGTGTCGCTTGTAGAAGCAAATAAAACAACGGGGACAATTGAATTTCTTTTTTCTCTTCTTTTGTTCGATTCTCGTCGCCGAACATGTTTCTTGTTGAGCAGCTACGCGGAAGAGGATATTAAACTTTTTGAATAAAATCGATTCCTTTCCACCAGACATTCTCTCTGAGCTGAGCAGTAATTTTCGAATTCAATGGTGTCCAATATTCGAGAAAATGTTGCCGGCGCAATCGACGAGGGACCGTCGATTTTCTTCTCTTTTTCCCCGGCCGACTCGAGCGATTCTATCAACGGGGACGCAATTTTGCGGGATCTAAAATGGTGAACCGCGTGTATAACAGAGGCCTACGGGATCTGCCTTTTCTATCGTTGCAGAAAACGGAGGATAGGACACAGAGACTGATAATAAGCTGTGCCAGAACGGACCTTCGTAACAATGGTTTTTCGGTGAGACACTTTTAATCTTCGATGCGCTGTCTGCTGAACTTTTGTGCGCACCCTAGCCCACTATCCATGGCATAATTAACCTTGCCGATTGAAAATACCAATTTTTCGCAACAGAAAAACCTGGGCCTACTTGTTTCTCGCACAGCTAATTTTGGTAATAGCGGGGAAAAAGAAAACTTTTCTCAAGTCTCGGTTTAAGAGACTTCATTTCTGATAGTTAATTTGATGGAAAATGTAATAAATGACATGTAATAAAAATTAATATTTTGGAATATTTCGTCCTTTTTATTTGAGAAAAATCACAAAGAAATGGTCAAATGCTATTCTGACAATTTGCTTCAATCAAATCCATTCCCATTATTTTCAGAAATTTTCAGTCATTATTGCTGAAATTGTGAAAAAGTTGTACAGAAATATCTCTGCTATCAAGATACATAATAAAAACTAGTATTTTGAAATATTACGTCCCTTTTATTTGAGAAAAATCACAGAGAAATGGTCAAATGCTATCTCCAAAAATCTGCTTCAATTAAATCCCCACATTTCCACAATTTTCAAAAATGTTCCAATTACTAAAATTGCAGTTCACAGTCACTATTACCAAAATTGTACACTTCCCACTGTAAATAACAATTTGCCTAATATAATCAAATTTTCCTAGGCACACACAACCCTTTGACACTCGAAATTTCTCTCACCGAAAGATCTTCCCTTCTCCTCAATCACCTCCTATGAACAGCGTTCATACACAACAATCTCCTCCGATAGCACTCCCTCCCAAAAAATTCCTCCTCCAAATTCTCTTCCAAATACTTCAACTTAAAATTTCCGTCACGGACGCATCCTACCGTTAAATCACCAGGGACAAACATCGGAGTGGCCAATTTTCAATTTCACAGTGAGTCAACGCGTCACACGAAAACGGTTTCCGTCGTTCTATTCGAAGCAGAAAATTAAATCGTATAATCGATAAAAATGAGAGAGAGAGAGAGAGGAGGAGGATCTCTCGCAGGAAACGTCGCGAAGAGAAGAGAGGAGAGTGCAGAAGAGAAGCTAAGAGCAACCGTGGCCAAGAGGAACGGGCTGCATCGACCTTGCGGATCGTTTCTGTTTGAATTCCTATTACTCGTTTTGTCCTTCCTCTGCTTCTTCATCTTCTCGTAGCCCGGCCCCGGCTCTTTCTTCCTTTGAAAAAGAAACTTGCTGAGCCGGCGTCTCGTTCACAACTCGTCCGTGTGTACCCGTATACGTACTACGGACTCGCGTGAAACGGAATGTCAAGAAAGAAAACCGTGCGTATACCGCTGGAAGAAACGTCCTTAGGACTCCACACTCCGCTGTCCACCGTCCCTTGTCCATTATCAACGGTGACCATCGATTTCGTGCCTCTTACAAACTTTAATTCGGTCGAAATCGTCGTTTCTCGTTGTTGCTAGTTTCGCGATGATTGTGACTTTATTTAATTGCGAATATTTCGTGTTTGGTATTTGATGGGTTTCAGTGATATGTGAAATTGACGCTCCTCTTTTAACCCTTTGACACGGTTTTTTAAAAAGGGCGATTTGGTGGCTCTCGCGAATTTAATTCGGTCCAAATTTTTGTTTCATTATTAATATTGTGAGTTTTATTTATTTACGAAAATTTTGCATTTGGTATTCGATGGGATTTGGAGATTTAGACTCCTCTTTTAACCCTTTGACACAGAATTGTAAGAAAGGAGATTTGGTGGCTCTCGCGAATTTAATTCGGCCCAAATTTTTGTTTCATTATTAATATTGTGAGTTTTATTTATTTACGAAAATTTTGCATTTGGTATTCGATGAGATTTGGAGATTTAGGCTCCTCTTTTAACCCTTTGACACGGTTTTTTAAAAAAGGCGATTTGGTGGCTCTTAGAAACTTAATTCGGTCCAAATTTTTGATTATTAATATTGATATTGTGAGTTTTATTTATTTACGAAAATTTCGCATTTGGTATTCGATGGGATTTGGAGATTTAGGCTCCTCTTTTAAGAGGACACAGTATTATCAAAAAGAAGATTTGGTGGCTCTCACCAATTTAAT